GCAATTGATCGGAATCACAGCCGCAATCTCGATTAACAAGAATTATATTGATATAATATTATTCCCGTGGGCAAAGCATGTGGCAAAGTTTTTAATCAAAAGCGGATGTAATCGATTATAGTACTTAAAGCAATTTATTAAAGTGATAAATAAATAAACTCGAAAAAAATTTCCTGAATTAGGTAAACCCAGGGGCGCAATTTACGCAATACGGGCATTCGTATTTGTATTTCTAATTTCGTGATTTCTTTAATTAAACTTGTCCGAATTCTTGATTTCGTACAAACTCCGACATATACATCAAGAAGGGTAACCATCTATTAATGCTTACTAATTAATCAAGTTATGCATGATAGATATCTTCTTTGATGTATAATTTATACGTGACTTTCAGTAAATTATTGCGAATATAATTCACATATATTGTAAGTTTTCTATTTTTATTACTATATTGTATGATCTTAAGACTTTTTACGATTAACGTAATTGTGATACATATTGTAAGATTCATCATTATACAGTAAATTACTTATCCATTTATCAGCCTACACGAAATCAATTCTTGCAAAATATGTACGAGTTACGGCTTGTTCCTTCCTAGTTTATCATGTCATCCTCGTGTAACGCATACCAATTTCAATATAAAACATATTCAAAGTTTTTTCAATCCTTCACAGCCTCCGGGGATCGATCTAAAGCGGATTTTTTTTTGAAAAAATTTATAAACATCGTTCATACTGAAATAAATTACTTTTTACTTTTACACGAAAAAAGAAAACCGCACCTATATAAAGAAGAGTTAAATAATTATAATTATTATAATTATAGAAAAAAATTGCAAGCTCTTTGAATTAATAAATTTCATAACTTCTTTTTACGGATTCAATGTCGAATTATCAAGGTGGGTATCCTCCAGAAGGAGGATATCCTCCTGAACAACAATATAGTGGTTATCCACCACCAGGTTACCAACCATATCAAACTGAAGGAGATTCTCAACCCTTAATTACTCCTCAAGGCGTATCTTTTGCTGAGCCTGATAGATCTTCACGTCATTTTGGTAGAGCTCCAGCGCGTCAACCACGTCGTTACAAAACTACAAAACGTGTAGAATTATATCAAGGGAATTTAGTATTGGATTGTCCTGTACCTACTGAATTATTGAGAAAAGTTTCAAAAAGAGAAGATAGAGAGTTCACACATATGAGATACACTGCTTGCACGTGTAAACCAGATGACTTTAAGAAAGAAAAATATACACTTCGTCAACTACTTTATGATCCTCCAAGGCAAACTGAATTATTTATAGTGTTGACTATGTATAATGTAAGTGTTATTTTAATTAATTTATATCCTAATATATATATAAGTATTCGAATACCAATAAAAATTCCGTGATGTACTGTTACATCGTTGGTCTTAATGATCTACATATTATCCTGCAAAAATATTAAAAATATATAACCCAATATATATATATATGTATATATATATATATCAGATTTGTATATATATATACTCAGGGTTTCACATTTTAATTTTATTTCAAATGCTATAACAACATAGTACTTTCTATCATTTATTTATTTATTTTAATTTAACAGGAAGATGAGGTTCTTTTTGCCCGTACTTTTCATAGTGTTGTGAAAAATATTACTCATCTTTGCAGTCGTGATCGTTCTCGTGTTTGGGGTGAAAATGGATGGAAAAAAGTTGTTGTATGCGTTGTATCCGATGGTCGTTCAAAAATTAATCAACGCACTTTAGCTTACTTGGCTGCTATTGGTGTTTATCAAGATGGTGTAGCAAAAAATACTGTTGGAAACAGGGATGTTACTGCTCATATTTATGAGTATACTACTCAACTTTCAATTGATGCTGATATGAAATTTAAAGGTGAAAAGGGTGAAATCGTTCCTGTCCAAGTCTTATTTTGTCTTAAAGAAAAGAATGCTAAAAAGATTAATTCTCATCGTTGGTTCTTTAATGCATTTGGTGCTTTAATTAATCCAACTGTATGTATTCTTCTTGATGTTGGTACTAAACCTGGTGGTACTTCTCTATATCATTTATGGAAAGCTTTTGATCTCAATTCTAATATTGCTGGCGCATGTGGAGAAATCGTTGCTATGAAAGGAACTGCTGGTGTAAATCTCTTAAATCCTATTGTTGCCGCTCAAAACTTTGAATATAAAATATCTAATATTTTGGATAAACCTCTTGAATCCGTATTTGGTTATATTATTGTATTACCCGGTGCTTTCTCCGCTTATCGTTATATCGCTCTTCAAAATGATCAAAATGGAAATGGTCCTTTGGCTTCTTATTTTTTGGGTGAAGCTGCTCATGGTTCCGATGCTGATATCTTTACCGCTAATATGTATCTCGCTGAAGATCGTATTCTCTGTTTCGAATTGGTAGCAAAACGTAATTGTTCTTGGTTATTACATTATGTTAAATCTGCATATGCAGAAACTGATGTACCTGATCAAGTACCTGAATTAATATCCTTCTGATCAATAGGTGCTTCAACTTCAACTTCACCACCTTTTCCAGGCGCAGCAACAGCTCCCAAGTCTTTTTTTGTTCCAGTATCACCTTTTGTACCCCAACT